TTTCAGAATAAATTTTGATGGAGCTTCGTTCACATTGTCTCGGCATTATTATTATTATTTTTTTTTTAATGTTTCTTATATTTTACTTTTGAGATCCTTGCATTGGCTTTACACCTATTCGAAACTGCCTCAAGATGATGCCACCATTTTCGAATGCTTCAGCTGCTGGTCGGAGCTATGCGCCGGGTAATTGGGCGACGGCGCTCATTGGCCTGTGCGCAGCGCCGTTTGGTTGGCTAACGGGTCGGCTCTGGCAGCGTTTGGATTAGCATTTTGATATAGTAATCGACCGCAGCGTATAATAATTCTTGTGGTTTCATTATGCCAACCGCACACCCTTCGACATGTTTGCTGCGCAACCGCCGACTGACAATATATACAACCACCATTGACACCGGCACCACTGCCACCACCACCGACACTAGCCCCCCCCCCTCCCCACCCCTGCAGCTTAGCGTTCGCGTCTTGTTGCTACATGTAGTAACCGCAAAATGTAGGAGGGTTGAACGGTTAATATGCCGACACGTCCCAAGAAAACTCCGCCCTGATGACAAAAAAAAAAAAAAAAGAAAAACACGAAAAATTCTCAGCGAATCCACCTACTTTTGAGTATGTGAGTGTGCGTGTGCGTGTGCGTGTACGTGTGTGTGAGAGGACGTCTTATGCTCATGTGGTTAGGCATTGCAATTTTTCACTCAAGTCGTCCAATTCGGCACCGAACAACCATTGGAGCACCTAGTTTCAGCTCCAGCAATAACAACAGCAGGAGCAGAACAACAACAAAAAAAATTGCCTCGTCTTTGGCCGCAAATGGCAGCCGCAAGATTTTTACCGCTCCACCACTAGTTGTGGCACTCACTCTAACCCGCCCACACTTGTGCGCCATCTCGCTCTGGCACGCCAGCCATCTCACTCCGATTGGCTTCCCGTCTCACTTGCCCGGTCTGGCCGGGTCTGGTCTGGCTGGCTGACTGGCTATGCACATTCTCTGGTTAGCTAGAGGCTCGCCGCAAAGCCGCGCGCCGGTTTCAGTTTTTGGCCAACATCTCGGACTTGTAATTCTGAGGTTGAGCGTCGACTGAGCGGAGTTCAGGGAGTCGATAGCGCCTTATTTACCACGCTGCGCGTTGAGATTCTTTTTTCTTTCATTTTCTTTTTTCTCTTTGATTTGTTGCTTCTTCTTCTCTCCTTTGAGTCGAAAGCGCCGAAAGACGTCGCAGCGCAATTCCAAGACGTCTTTTGGGGGTTGCTAGCGCCAAAGAGAAACAACAGCAACAACAACAACAACAACAACAACAACAACAACAGCAGTCTGAGAAAGAAAGAAAAATAACGATGCCATAAGCGCTGCATAGAAAAATGAGTCAAGCTGCAGGACGCAGCTTCCAGCTGCGAGATTCGACTCAATTTTTTTTTGTTGTTGCTCGCCTTGCTCTCGCTCTCCCAGCACTCAGCCCAATGGCTTCCAGCCGCTGTCCCGGCTGGTCTCTAAGCAGCCAGCGAAGGTGTTGCGAGCGCCAAAATTGAGCGCTTTTTTTAAGGAGTTGTTTTTTTTTTTTGTTCTTTTTATTTTTGTACTTCCAGCATCAGCAGGAGCTGGGTGGGCCGGAGACGAGGTCGTTGAGGCTGTGTCGTTGGGGTACCAACTTGAAGACATCGTTGCGGCCTTTCTGCTTGTGGTGTAGTTGACGTTTTTGGTTTCGGTTTCGGTTTTTGGCGTGGCTTACGGTTCGTCAGTGGCGCTGCCGCAGACGCAGCCGCCCGATGTTACCGCTGCTGCTGCCGCTGCTGCTGCTGTCGACGTCGACGTTGACGCTGACGGCAACGGCAATGGCAGCGACAGGCATTGCGATGTTGTTGCCAGCTGGCTGCGCTGCAGTCGCTGTTGGCGTCGCTGCTGGGACACCACAAGCAAAAACCACTGCTACTGGTTCTCGTGGTAAATGTTAAGCCAAGAAAAAGAATTATATACCCAACGCGGTTGCTTGAAAAACGCAAAAAGAGGCGGCACTCGCACTCCAAAAGGCGGTAGCATCCAGCATCCAGCATCGAAGCATCTCTGCTGCTGCTGCTGCTGCTGGTGCTGCTACTGCGGCTGCTACTGCGGCTGCTGTTGCTGTTGCTTCGTCCCGTTCTCGTTGTCGCCTTTTGCGGCCCGGCCCCACCTCGCACGCTCCTGCGTCCTTGGCCGCCGTCGTGATTATGATGACGCGCCGCTGACTTCGCTGTCGGCGTCGCCAACCGCTCATAGTGGTCGCGTTCATGGTTACCGCAAAAAAATAGTTTAATATCTCCGTGTCGTTTGATTCGATCGCCAGCCAGCCAAAGAGAGCCGAGCCGTTCTCCAAGTGCCACAAAAGCCGCACCAAAACTCAAGCTCAATTTACAGTCGGTTTATTAATCAGTTGTACGCGCGTGTGTCAGTGTGTGTGTGTGTGTGTATTAGTGTGTGTGCATATTAATGTGCGTGTGTGCGTGTGTACTCATCAAATTGTTATATATCGAATATCATTCAAATATATATAAATATTAAATTCCACGTTCATTTTTTTATTGTGCCCAATTGTGATATAGTTGAAGTCAGATTCTCCTTTTTTTTTCATCATGTAAAATAAACAAAAAATAAATTTAAATAAAAAAAATTGTTTAGGCTACTTGAAGGATTCAAAACTGAAATACGCCCTATTGGAATATACGCTTAGTGCTAGAAGAAATGTAAGCCAAATAAATATAATTTATCTTAAGTGAATGAAACAGTTGAAATCGATCTGAAGTGATCAAATGATTTGATCCCAAATGCATGCTGTCCATAAAGTAAAAGACCTTGGGCTAAGCTCAATCAATCAGGCAGCAGCTCATGTTTTAAGTGCCCAAAATATCTCTGAGATCGATTTTTCTTGTAACTCTTGTATGAGGAGAAGGGAGTAAATGGGATTTGTGCAATGTCCGTCCGTCAGTTCATATATATGGTATGATCTATGGTATCAGGTTTTCCTGATAAATTCAATAGGTTTGGTATGAAATTTGGGGACTATATATTTGTATACCTACGCTTATAGGAGGCGTGGCATTCGGATAGATCATCCGTATAATCTTAACATCGCAATTACCTTCAAAATTTTGGATACTTAGCTTCCGAAATATGACAGTTACAACGCTATAGACCCCTAAGAATTCGAAAAAGAATTCGCTATTTTCTAAGCTCACAAAAAATTGTATATAATTATTCATGCCTCTGAAGTTCTTTGGAAAAACATTTATTTTCCAGCTTTACACTTAGTATTATCAAAAATCATATATCCGCGCCTTTTGAGGGCGTGACAAATCGGAAAATACTATTGCCGTTATCATAGAAGCTCCGTTACTTAAAATGCTACAACAATCTGGAGCATTTACTTGCGTTGATCCTAAAAAGTTAGAAGATATAGGTTTATCTTGTTTGCCAATCGCCTTAAAAAATATACTTTGATTGTGAATGTATATTACTTGGTGAAAATTCTCTGACTAACTTTTTGGGGATTATGACGTTACGTAATTGTAATTTGTAATTTATAATTTGTTATATCTTGGATCCCGAATCTGGCAGCTCTGTTACTGTAGATCCCAGAGAACTGGGTCCAGACGCATTGGAGCAAAGGTATATTAATACATCTTGAGTGGCGTAGCGAATCGGCTAAGTATAAAAATATCTGGCAATATTTCATTCCAGCATTTGGAATATAAATGAGAATTCTGCAGTTCGTAGACTACGTTTTTTTATTTGAGGTAAAAATTGTCGATTAGAGTCCTGCTCTAATCTTTGGGCAACCTAATCTATGCGGAAATTATATAATGTAAATTTTTACGGTCGTGATAGACTACCGTTAATTAATGAATTCGTTACTATATTGATATCTTGAGGGCGGTGTATTAGCTGATTTCATGGCTCTGATAATAGCTGAGATCATAGCTCCAAGCAACCTTATGAGGACTGCCCCAACAAGCTGCCATTTCCACTTCCATTTCCATTTCCATTTGCATTTTGTGCATCCACGCATTTTCCCTCTTTTTGGCCTTCAGTCTGCTGTCTGCTTTCTGCTGTCCGTTGTCCGTTGTCTGCTCTCTGTTGTCTGTGCTGTTGTTGCTGCTGCTCTGGCCGGTGCCTTTGGCTCGTGTGCCGCCTCTGTGGCCACATATGTCGCCGCATAGTCACTGGACGAGCTCATTTGTTGTCCAGCTGCGACCGTTGTGTATGCAAAAATTCAAACGGAAGTTGTAAAAAACGAGTACATATACTACCTACAGATTGTGCACACACATGCAGACGCACACGCACTCTGCCTGTGTCTGTGTCTGTGTCTGTGTGCGTGTACATAAACAGCAACAAAAATAGTTGTTGCATGGCAATTGCAAAAACAAAACGCAATGCGCGGCACGCGTTTCTTTTATATGCAGCTCCAAAAAGTATGTGTGAGTGTGTGTGTGTATGTGTGATTGCACATTGTTGATTTTTTTTTTTTTTTGTTTTTTTTGGTGGCCAAACACAAACGGACAACAGCTGGCGCTTTATTATTATCATTTTTATTTATATACAATTTTTTTTATTTCTGCTTCCATTTCAGGTTTTTTTTTTTTTTTTTTTTTTTTTTTTTTGATGTCCTGGGGATTCCATTAGCACATATTGCAGCTGTAGGCCGCCATCCATCTTAGTTGAGTAGGCCCTCGGCTGGGCTCTCGCCCGGTCGGGACAGCAGTTGGCCGCAGGCTACGTATTGGCCATGATTTTTAATATTTAATTGAGTTGCGCTCGATGGCGGCGGCTTAAATGCAAATTGTGCGCAAAGGTGCGTGGTCGCACGGTCGTCCACAAGCAGAGCTGCAGCAGTAGGCAACACCAACATATTTGCTCTACACACAAATCAAAATGTGACAAGTTTCACAAAAAATCTGTTGCATACTTTTGCGGGCGAACGTTTGTGCAAAAAGAAAGTGAGTTGGAAAGCGAGAGACGGCGAGTGAGTGTGCGTCAATGATCTAGCAATATGTGAAGAATTAAAAAGTCTTGATCTATGTATTTGTGAACAGAGAGCGAGAGAGAGTGAGTGACAAGGAGAGAGCGAGAGTGGAATTTGTAGAGATTGGAAGATGGAGAGTGAGTGTGTGCCACAGATCTTTCAATTTGTGTAGAATGAACCCTTTTCTAAGTGAAGATTGTGAAGTAAAGAGAGAGAGAGAAAGAGAGTGAAAGAGAGAGAAGAGTGAGTGACAAGCAGAGAGAAAAACTGGAACTTGTAAAGAGTGGAAGATGCAGAGTGAGTGTGTGCCACAGATCTTGGAATTTGTGAAAAATTAAACCGTGTCTCAGTGAAGACTGACAGAGAGAGAGAGAGAGAAAGAGAGAGAGAGAGACAAAGAGAGAGAGAGAGAGAGAAAGAGAGAGAGAGAGAAAGAGAGAGAGAGAGAAAGAGATTGAGAGTGAGTAGAGAGAGAGAGTGTGTGTCCTTAAACACGGAATTCGCAAAGAGTGAGAGGCGGAGAGTGAAAGTGTATCACAGATTTGTTGAGAATACAACTGAGTCAAATTGATCTATGTATTTGTGCAGATTGACAGAGAGAGAGAGAGAGAGAGAGAGAGAGAGAGAGAAAGAGAGAGAGAGAGAGAAAGAAAGAGAGAGAGAAAGAGAGAGAGAGAGAAAGAAAGAGAGAGAGAAAGAGAGAGAGAAAGAAAGACTTATTAGAAATGAGTTGAAGATGGAGAGTAAGTAAGTGTGTGTCATTGATCTAGGAATTTGAGGAGAATGAATGAATGATCTGTGTATCTTTGTGAAGATTTACGGACAGATAGAGGTCTCCCTATTTAAAAATGGAATTAGCAAACAGTGGGAGATGGAGAG